TGTTGAGAAAAACGACAAAAGCATAACTGCTTTGGCCAAGTGGTCTCATGAGGGAAACGTTTGCACATGTGTGAAATGATACAGGGTTATTCATTGCAGCCGTTTATGTAATAGCAAACACTGGGAGAGAGTCCAGAGAGCCATCAGTAAAGCGCCAGTTGCATAAATTCTTGCTCATCTGCACAATGGAGTCGATTGCAGAGATGTAAGAAGAATGAGGAAGTCTGCTTGGGCTGATTTGGAAAATCCTGCAAGGAATATATCATTCAAAGAAATAACTAGGTGGGGTGTGGTGGCTTATGTCTGTAATCCCAGCACTTTGGGAGGCTGAGGTGGGAGGACAGTGTGAGCCCAGGAGTTTGAGACTGGACTGGGCAGCATAACAAGATCTCATCTCTACAAAAGGTTAAAAAATTAGCTGGGCGTGGTGGCGCGTGCCTGTAGTCCTAGCTACTTTGGAGGCTGAGGCAGGAGGATGAGGTGGAGGCTGTGGTAAGCCGTGATTGTGCCACTGCACAATCCTGGGCAAAAGAGTGAGACCCTGACTCAACTCGAAACAAGAACAAAAAGAAATAACTAAAGTCCACACCTATATGTACAGTGTACTACTTTTAGTGAAAAAAAAATTTTTTTTTTTTGAGTTGGATTCTCACTCTGTTACCCAGGCTGCCATGCAGTGGCAATATATTCTCCAGGCTGGTCTCAAATTCCTGGCCCCAAGTGACCTTCTCACCTCAGCCTCTCAAATGCTGGGATTACAGATGTGAGCCACCATGCTCAGATTTCTTTTTAAACTTTTCTGTTAGGGGTTTTTGGATTTATTTTTATGTTGTGATATGATGAATCCTTTAAACATTTTAGATTTCAGGTTCTAGCAAACACATGGACATTGTCCCTCCAGGATGGAGCTGAGTTTGTTAATGTTGAGAAAAATGACAAAAGCATACATGCTTTGGCCAAGTGGTCTCATGAGAGAAATGTTTGCACACATGTGAAATGATGCAGGGTTATTCATTGCAGCTGCATGCTCACAGCCACTGCAGCCTCAACCTGCTGGGCTCAGGTGATCCTTCCCCCTTGGCCTTCCAAGTAGCTGGAACTACAGGTGCACACTACCATGCCCAGCTAATTTTTTAAAAAATTTATTGTAGAGATGCGGTTTCACCAAGTTGCCCAAGCTGGTCTTGAACCTGTGGGCTCAGGCAATCCTCTCACCTCGGCCTCCTAAAGTGCTGGGATTACAGGTTTGAGCCACCACACCCGGCCAAAAAAAGTTTTAAAAAAAGTATATACTTAGTTTGTTTCCACTGAAACATTCCATGTTTTTTATTTTTAGAGACAGGGTCTCCCTCTGTCATCCAGGCTGGAGTGCCTTGGCATAATCAGACCTCACTGCAGCCTCAAACTCCTAGGTTCAAGTGATCCTCCTGCCGCAGCCTTCCCAGTACTCATAGTTAGAACTACAGGCATGCACTGAAATGTCCTGCTAAATTTTAAAAATTTTTTAAGAGACAAGGTTTCACTGTGTTGCCTAGGTTGGTCTCAAACTCCTGAGCTCAAGCAATCCTCCCACCTCTGCCTCCCAAAGTGCTGAGATGACAGGCATGAGCCACCATGCCTGGCCCCATGTCTTTTTATTTTTTTAGTTGTGGTGCAATAAGCACACTGTAAAATGTATCATTTTAACCACGTATAAATGTACAGTCAGAGGCATTAATTACACTCACATAGCTGCACAGCCACCACCACCATCATCTCCAGAACTTTCTCATCTTCCCAAACTGAAGCGCTGCTCCCAAGAGACACTAACTTTCCAGTCCCCTCTCACCCAGCGCCTGGTAACCACTGTTTGATTTCTGTTTCTGTGAATCTGACGACTCTAGGGACCTCCTCTGACTGGATGCTTGTCCTCTTGTGATGGGCTTATTTCGCTCAGAGTACTGTCTTCAGTTCCTCCATGTTGTAGTCTGTGTCAGAATTTCCTTCCTCTTAAAGGCTGAATCACATTCCATTATAGAACAGACGAAAGTTTGTTTATGGATCCATTCATTTCTTCCCTTGTATAATCCTAAATTACCCAATCGGCTTATAACAGGCAGGGATGGGGCTCAAACACTGGACAATTGAAGGAAAGAGAAGGGTAGAAGAATTGTTTTGTTGTTATTGCTGTTGTTGTTTTTCTTTTTTGTAATCAATATTTTTTATTTTGGAATTGTGGGGTACAGTTAAGGGTTAGGTATACAAATATGTTTCATTCAGGCACCCTTGTTGATAAGGGGTGTCTCTCTGTCCCCAGACAGATATTGACTACCATTAATCCCACCTCCCTTCCCCTCCCCCTCATAGTTTCCCACCACTGTCAATCCTTTTCTTATAGCATTACGATAGGTGTTCAAGGTCCACTATATGAGTGAGAACATGTGATACTCAGATCTTTGTTGCTGTGAGAGGTCACTCAGTATTATAGACTCTAGTTCCATCCAGGTTGCTGTGAAATTCATGATTTTGTTCTTTTTTATGGCTGCGTAGTATTCCATTGTGTATATGTACCACATTTTAAAAATCCAGTCCTCTTTTGATGGACAGCGTGGTTGGTTCTGGCTATTGTGAACAATGCTGTGATAAACATACATGTGCAGGTATCTTTTTCATAGAGTGATTTGAGTTCTTCAGGGTATATTCCCAGTAGGGGGATTGCGGGGTCATATGGGAGGTTGATATTTAGAGATTTTAGGAATCACCACACTGTTTTCCACAGAGGTTCCACTAGTTTGCACTCCCACCAACAGTGTATGTATTCCCTTTTCACCACACCCTCTCCAGCAACTGTTATTTTTTGAGTTATTGATAATTGCCATTCTGACTGGAGTTAGGTGGTATCTCAGTGTGGTTTTGATTTGCATCTCCTTGATAATTAGTGAGGCTGTTGTTGTTGTTTTTGAGTTGGAGTCTCACTCTGTCGCCCAGACTGGAGTGCAATGGCTGCTCCTGGCCACCACAGCCTCGACCTGCTGGGCTCCGGCGATCCTTCCACCTCAGCCTTCCAAGTAGCTGGAACTACAGGTGCGTGCTACCACGCCTGGCTAGTTTTTTGATTTATTGTAGAGACGAGGTCTTGCCAAGTTGCCCAGGTGGGTCTTGAACCTGTGGGCTCAGGCAATCCACTCACCTCGGCCTCCCAAAGCATGGATTTACAGGCTGAGCCACCCAGCCCTGCCATTGTTGTTGTTTTGAGTTTGAGTCTCACTTTGTCACCCAGGCTGGAGTGATGTGGCACACTCACAGCCACCCTAGCCTCTACCTGCTGGGCTCAGGTTATCCTTCTGCCTCAGCCTTCCAAGTAGCTGGAGCTACAGGCACATCCACCAGGCCTGGCTAATTTTTGATTTATTGTAGAGACGAGGTCTTGCCAAGTTGCCCAGGCTGGTCCTGAGCTCAGGCAATCCTCTCAACTCTGCCACACAAAGTGCTGAGATTACAGGCATGAGCCACCATGCCAGGCTGCAACATTTTTTTTTTTTTGAGTTGGCGTCTCACTCTGTCACCCAGGCTAGAGTGCAGTGGCACGCTCCTGGCCACTACAACCTCAACCTGCTGGGCTCCGGCGATCCTTCCACCTCAGCCTTCCAAGAGCTGGAACTACAGGCACATGCCACCACGTCTGGCTAATTTTTGATTTATTGTAGAGTTGAGGTCTCGCCAAGTTGGCTAGGTGGGTCTCGAACCCACGGGTTCAGGCAATCCACTTACCTCAGCCTCCCAAAGCACTGGGATTATAGGCTGAGCCACTGCACCCGGCCCAACATTATTTTTAAACCCAATATGAGAGAGGAGGAAGGAACTGATTTGATAGAAAATCCTGAGCAATGTGGTAGCCTCCACAGTCTCCACACAGACTCAGAGAGACCTCTTTCTTGGGCCCTGAATTCATTTTCTTTTTGCCTAGAAGAATCCTTAGAGACTCCTAAGACTGGCATAGAGATAGGGTGACAGGGGCTTGGGAGTTGGACTGAAGTGGGCTTAATTCTAGTCCTTCCCTTCCCCACAGCCTCGGTTACTCACTTGTGATCTGGGAGTCAATGATTGACTTCATCTCCTAAGGATGCAAGGCAGATGAAGCCACGCTTATAGGAAAACCCCACCCGGAACCTGGCTCTCAAGGGTGCTGGCGGAACTTCAATGACAACGAAAACTTCAAGCCTGCCGGGCACAGTGGCTCACACCTGTCATCCCAGCGCTTTGGGAGGCCAAGGTGGGAGGATCACTTAAGCCCAGGAGTTTGAGGCCCACCTGACCCAGACTGGTCTTGAACCCACGGGCTCCGGCAATCCTCTTGCCTCCACCTCCCAAAGTGCTGGGATTACAGGTGTGAGCCACCACACCCAGCCATATATGTATGTATGTGTGTGTGTGTGTGTGTGTGTGTGTGTGTGTGTGTGTGTGTGTATGTATATATATATATGCATATGTGTATATATATATATTTTTTTTTAATGGGAAAAATATCTTTGCATTGCTGCTACATGTGAAGATACATTTTGCTGAGGGGGTGTGTGATCAGGAAAGTCCTTGGTTGACTGAGCTCTGGGTGTGTGTGTGTGTGGGGTGGAGGAGGTTAGTTATGAATCACTGTATTCTCAGGCCCAGGATTCTGAAGTCATGAGGGTGAATGAGGCAGAATCTGTCTTGTCCTTCAAGGCCCACGACAATGTCCCCTCCTCCAGGAAGCCTCCCGTGCCTTCCCAGACTCAGCTCTGGGCTTTCAGCTCTGGGATCCTCAGCCCAGGGACCAGGGCCCCCTCTCTCTCCCAGCGTTGTCAGCGGTGAAGTCTGTGCCTGGAAGTTGAGGCCTTTCCGGGGGGTTCTGGCCTGCCCAGGCACAGAGCAGGTGAGGCAGAGTTCACAGAATGAATGAATGAAGAGTCCAGGTGGCCCTCCGAACTGGGTGTGGACTAGGGGGCCCGGTTGTTCCGGGGAGGGAGGGTAGGGCTCTTGTCTCCTCATCTCGGCCGAACCCGGCCCGGGAGGCAGCTGCAGGCCAGGCACCGGAGCCCAAAGTTCAGGAGGCGAGGCCAGCGGAAGAGGAGGCTGTGGGTGGTTCGCACGTACAGGTGGCCTGAGGGGTCCACGTTCTTGAGAATGGTCAGCGGTGTGTAGCGGGCGTTGGTCTGTCGGCGCAGGGGTGGGCGGGCTGAGTCGATGACCTTGACGATGGCCTGTGGGGGGGGAGCCCTGAGCTTGGGGACCCGGGGAGGGCCCCTCCCCCAACACACCTGCACTGGGTCTGGGGGCCCTGGGTCTCCACTTACCTGGGCCACATCTTGGGGGCTCTGTCCCACGGAGCGGAAGAGCTCCCTGGAGGCCGGGAGGTAGGAGTCCCGGAAGTAGTGCAGAGTGTCAGGGTCGGTACCCGGGAACTCAGCCGCGGAGACCTGTGCCAGCAGCTTCCCCTCGAACTCAGTGATCACCGGGCCTGGCTCCACCAGGGAGATGCTGGGGGCCAGGCAGGGTGGTGAGCTGATGCCCCAGCCATGGATGCCCCCTTGTGTCCTTATTGTTATTATTATTATTATTATTTTTGAGTTGGAGTCTCACTCGGTCGCCCAGGCTGGAGTGCAGTGGCCGCTCCCGGCCA